AAAGTCATCCAACGCCTTCTAGACATGATTAAAAGCAACTTCACTACCACACGCGATGTCACACAAACGCTTGCACCTTAGTGACAATCCCCGATGTCTTATCATTCGACCAGCTTTCTCTGCCACATCACCTCCAACTCCAGGATTACGAGATAGTGTCTTTGTATTTTGGGTCCATCAGAGCTTGAACCACATGGAGGATAGTGCTGTGAATCCCTTATTTTTTTTTATGGCTGTAAGCATATGTCTGCATGGCAACCCCGTAGATTCAAATAATGCACACTCACATTTTAGATGTTGATTGGTCGTAGTAAATGTTAACCTCCTTATTCGATTCGAGTTCATGGAGTTATTCAGAATAAATGTCTCTGTCCCATCTGATTCAGTTCTTGTCTCCGCTAATACATAAGAAGCTTCGTTCTCTAGTTCAGACTTGAAGATAGCAAATGTACGATGTGTGTAGATACTTTCACCTTGCATTTCCCATGTACGAAAGGTATGCTTGCAGACCAACCTCGTGTGCCTAGAAGAATAATCATCCTACACCTCCGTGAAATGCATCCCCTCCAGTGCTTCATCAATGCCCTGAACAAAAAGTTGCAAGCTGTATTGAGTTCCCACATACCCATTTATCCAATGGTTACATAACTCACATCACGAGGTTGATTGGAGTCCACCTAAATAAATATCCTTCAAGTATGCCTCTGCCCAAAGTAATTTGTCAGCGTACAAATCCTGCAACCCCTTATTTGCAGACAAACCATGCTCAGTAATCAAACGCTCCCAATGCCTCTCAAACTCCTCAGTTGATTTATGTGCTTTCGCCAAGTGGGTGAATGTGCTAACTCTCTATTATGAATGGTCGTTGTTGCATTTGTCTCAATATACCAAATACACAGACGGTGAGGCACTCCAACCAGTACAGTAGCAATGACGCCACACATGGACTTGCATCTGTCTGTGATCACTGAAGGCGACATCTTAGAGTTCATACACTCCAGAAAATTATGCAACAACCAAACATAGTTGGTGATTCTCTCGTTATCCAACTGGGCAAAACCATATATGATGTTACGGTGGTGGTGATTTACACCAACCATCGTAACAAATGGCCGATTGTACTTGTTGCGCTTGTAGCATGCATCAAACGCCAAGACATCCAAAAAAATGGTAATCTACTCTAGATGTGGAGTCCGACCAAAAGAGATTGTTTAATTCACCTTGATTGTTGATTGTGTACTTGAAGAAGCTACCACCATCAGAAGTATGTTTACTTTGCAAGTAAGCAATGTTTGGTTCACATATCTTATTAGGTCGTCGTCAACTGTTCGGGATTTCTGAACAACGTTATCCAAATCCTTTGGAGTGTACCCCAGACTCTCATATCCTCCAACTTTATTCTTCATGAACTGAACAATGTGGCGTTGTTTTATTCCTGACTGTCGCATCCCTATCGTCAAACCCCTGTCTCCTTCACTCATGTTTCGATGAGACCGAAGGAATTGAGTTTCTTCTTTTGCAACAACGATGGGAGTGCTTCCTCTCGAACTTAGAAACAACCCACATTTTCTTAGTCCGATCAAAGCGTACATTATACGATGCCTTGCAAGAATGTATTGCCATCTTACGATATTGCCCTGTCCAAACTTCTTTATCTATATGCCTCTTCTGTCTAATTCCCTCTCTTGAACATACCATTGTCCTCCCAGTTACTACTCCTCGACGATTCCTCCAAAGATCTCTACGTTGAACGCTAAACCCTTTTGCTTTAGCATAGGCATCATAAAATTTTCCGCATCTTCTAATGTTTGGAACTCCATGGAAGGAATTCTTGTTCATATTCAGTAGCTTCTTCATCATTCATAAATTCTTCTTCGGCACCCTCAGTTTCCTCATCGTCCCTAATCACTTCATCATTTTTATCATCTGCATTATCCATAGGCCCTCCTCGAGCATCCTCAGTTTCCTCATCGACGTTAATCTCTTCAACATCTCTATCATCTGTATAATCTCTATTATCCATCTTGCAATGTCGAAATACGAATTGTATGTTAAATAAAATCGAAATTAGGTATCGTCAGGTCGGCCTGGATAAACTGTATGATCGACCTGGTATGAGGGTGGTAACTTGTGGTACACAATGATGAAAGTTGTAAATGACAGTTAATATACTTCTACTATAATGTATTCAACCATTCGACAGTCTTGATATGTTCATACCACCATAGTGCGCTCTTATTTAATATCAGTCAATACCATATTGTATATACTTGTAAAAAATGACCCAATTTTTATTGTTCTAAAAATATATCAAAGTGCATTTCATTTTGAAGAGCACAATTAATCTGATCTATCTGTGTAAAAAATAAATAAATTCATACTTAAAATGAAAGAGAAATCGTTCGTTAAAGATTAAAGGGAAAAAGATTACAAGCTTTCCATATGGGAAAGGATGTTGATGTCATGCTAATGTCCAGTCTATCACACGAGATCAAGGAGCCGAGTTTTTCGCTGGCTAATCTTTACTAACCATCACTCAGCTGCCATTCATTAGGTTCGTGAACTACTTTGGCCGAATCAGCTTTAACATGATGCAAAAGGGTGTTGGGAGGGTGACCACTAGTGACATGATATTGTATCACGCTTTGGTGCATAACTAGTGGTTTCATCCAACATGGTTGGTGGTCGACAACCTATTAAGGTACACATCTATTGATTCTCCACGAGGATTACTAGGAGGAGGCTATGGTTACACCATAGCCCAACATATCGACGAGCATATGGAGGAGTATGGATTTGCTCTATGGGAGACATGAGTGAGGGAAGGACCTATCTTTCATCAAGCGGCTTTCACCGTTGGAGTTGATAAGGTGAAAAGAAAGGGAGTGTACCTTACCAACAACACTTGCCCACCATACTCTGTATGGACGACGACAGGGAAACAAACAATGCATTTAATGAGACCCGCACGGATACTGGATGAGGTGGGTCGACTCACTCTTAAAGGGTGAGCCACCTTTGAGATATGGCATAAGAAATAGGCCGAACTAGGTTAACAAAAAATCATGTGTACATGTTCCTCTCTTTACTCTCTACTATCATGTGGTTGCTTTTTAACTGACACACGAGCTTGCTAGCCAAAAGTTGAAGACGAACAGTAAAAGGCCAAAGCTATCTTAATAACCCTTTGAGTCTTAGTAACGGGTCAAGCCTAACACACAAGTCTCGACAACCAATCATTAGTTAATCATATTTTATTTATCTTGCTCATTAAATTATATGTGTGCAACAAGTGTTCTGCCGTAACCACAAATTCACAATTCATTTGAAAATATCTTTTTGAGGAGCTATATTTTGACTTTTGAGAAATCTTTTTCAAAATATAATATTTTAGTAGTACAAACAAAATCCGATTTGAGATGACTTGAGCATAGAGTTGAAGAACTTTGAGGCGCAAGGGAAAAAAAGTAAAGGAAAACTATTCTGGTCAAACAACAAACCACTAAAAGGTAAAAACACATTAACGAGTCTCAGGGTAAATTGCAAGATTGGTTATTGGATTTACTAAAAATATTCACGTACGTTCACTAAAAATATTTAATTACATCCGTGGTCAGTAAGATTAGTTAAACGTTTCAAATTTGGTCACTCTCCGTCCAATTCCTAACTTTGTCTAACGTGGCAGTCAACTCTCAAAGTTGACAGTAAACTGAGTGACGTAGCAATTAAAAAATAAAAAAATAAAAAAGTTTAATCTTTTACAATTTCCAACTAATTTTCACAAGAAAATTATTGTAATTAGAGTTTTAATTATTGTAATTAGGGTTTTAATCTTTTACAATTAAGTAAAACAGAAAAAATTATTGTAATTAGAGTTTTAATCCTTATCAGGAGAAATACTTCAATAACCCAGCTCGCCCGCCCTATCACCGAGCTCCTCCGCAGGCGCCACTCTGGAAGCTAATGGATCCGAGTGGACAAAATGAAAAACAAATGCGGAGAGATGGCCGCCGCTTCACTTTCTCTTCCCTTCATCGCTCTCCTCTTCCACTCCCATTCTGGGCCATTGGAGCAACCATACTCAACAGAGGCACATTTAGTTAACGATTATATTTATTATTTTTTAATTGCCACACCATTCAGTTAATGATCAACTTTGAGAGTTGACTGCCATGTAAGACAAAGGTAATGAAATTGAATGGAAATTGACCGAATTTAAAACGTTTAACTAATTTTAATGACCAAGAATGAAATTAAATATTTTCATTGACCAAAACGCGAGCATTTTCAATAAACCGATGAACAACTTGCAATTTAGCCACGAGTCTCATTGAAGAAATAAGGGGATGTTTGGAAGTTGTGATTCTTCAAATTGATGTATTGGGTCAATTAGTGTATTATCATTTGATGTACTGAATCAATTGATGTATTAGACAAATACTTTGTTTGGAGGTTTAGATTGTGTTTTTGTTGTAAAGATATAAAAGTTAATTTTGAGTGATTGTGAACAATCTCAACAAAAAGTAGAGATTGACAATCCCTCAATTTTGAGTGATTGTGGTGGAGCCTCCAACAAATTAATACATGTATTTTAGTTCAATATAACCTAAAAAAACGACTTAATCTCACAATTACATGAATTAACTCAATACACAATTTGAAATCACAAATTCCAAACCACCCCTAAGTTTCTTGGAAAGTGCAAATCTTTCCTGACACAAGACGACGGCTAGAGATTGGAACGATCCTCCTCGCCATCACACTTCTACTGCGTTGGGCTCTCCCTCTAAAGGCTGAAGTTGAACTGAACCCACCCTCCCCAATTGGAAAAGTATACATTCAGCCATCATCATCATCTCACCAGCAATATCTCATTCTCAGGTGCGTTTTGGCGTCCAGCTCTCATTTCCCCAACCTCCTTTACGGGATTTGACTTACCTTGACAATCCGAGTTTAGTATAAAAGTCAAATTTCTTCTCCTTTCCCGATTCAATGCGAGAATTTGGTTATTTTTATGCTTTGAAATCGAAATAGTTTCAGAGGGTTGATTTTCTGATTTTGGGTGTTGGTTTGTTGTGTTCTGGTTTGGCGGTGGGGTGCTTTGGGAAGTTTGGAAGTTCCTCTCAAGGGTTTTGGTTTGTTTTCATGTTCAGTTTGACTTGTGGGCATCATGGAATTGTCGGAGAACTGTGAATTTTGAGGTTTGGTGACGAGATATTTGATCTTTGCTAGTTGCTCTTCGTTTGACTAGCTGGATAGAACTAAGATTCTAAGGTTCTCTTGTGTTTTATTCTGGGGTTCTTCTGGTTTTCTTGCTGACATATGGTGGAACAAAAGATGAACTGCATGTTATATTAGTGGCTTTAATTCTTAGACCTTAGTAGTTGTACTGTTAGTATTGTATTGTCTATTGATGATTTCTGGCCTTATCTTTACTTCATGAGTAGGAGCTTTATCATTTCAGTTTCCGAGTATTATTACAGGGTTACTAATATCTTGAGGGCAATTATCTGCTAAATTCAGTTTGCACTGGAGGTCGGCTGACCCGGAGGTTTCAGAAGTCTTTGGATGATTGGTTTTTGTGATGAAGTTTGTGCTTACTTTGCACTTACGTTTGCTCCCGATTTGGTTTTTTACCAGTGGGCTTGTCTTGATTGCTTTTGTGCTGTGAAACTCTTATGGACCATTCTTCATTGATAGTATAAAACCTCTGCCATGGCTTACCCTTTTGGATTTAGTTGGTCCTGTGGTTAGTTCAGGTTAGCTCAGACAAGTTTAGAGTAGATTAGTATGAGCTCCTAGGTTTATTGCTTTTGTCTTGTTGAGTGTGTGCCTGGACTAGGTTCTATGTCATGCATTCTGCAATTCACTTCTGGATCTTTTTTCTATTGCGTAAGGAAGAAGTTCATATCATCCTACCTTGTTTTAATTAGGGATGAGAAGGAACCAGCGGGATGCCGAGTTTTGATCCACAGTTACCTGTGAATCATGCACAGTAAAGCTTCTCTTTCTGTACCCTTTTCGTTAATTTTTACTGATTTTCCTTCATCTTCCTACTTATTTTTGTTGAGACTCCTTTGTCTTATCTTATGTGCTTCATAGATATAAACTTGACACTTGAAACTTATGCTTTCCTAGGTACAGGGAAATTTAGAGTCCGATAAGAGATAAGATATACTCCGCTTTCTTATATAATTTCTGTTTCTGGGATGAGAATGAAAGTGGGTAGAAGATTGCTCGTCTGCAACCAATCAAAATCTTTAGCTTTGATCTTTATTTTTATCTGTCAGCTGTTTTATTTATTTAATATTTTAATTCATTACATGACCATTGCCAACCTGTTAAATTTTCTGAATAGTTTTCAAATATTTGTGGTCTTGCCTCTTTTAAGTTTGCTTCATAACTAAAAATAAGCAACCCACAGATTCTGGAGAAGTTCAGTGTATGTGGTTATGTTTCTGCCTAGTAACTTTTGATTTTACTTAATCCTTGATGAGCCTTTCTCCTGTGCTTTGAAATTTCGCTAAGTTGTTTCTAGCTAATTTTGTTGGCGACTCTTTGTTTCAGTTCAATAGAGGGCAGGCCTGCCAACTCTTATATTGTTTCGGACTTTGAGGCATTTGATCAATCTTTTCCATTTCGCTTAGCGAATGCTATTGATCCGACGGCAAGTAAGTACCCGAGCAATTTCAGAAGCCGAATGCGAATGTCTTCCTTGTTACATTCTATTCTTTTATTTCATGAATTAAGAAGTCTATGCTATTCTGTGGCATTCATTTGAGTCTCAAGTGGTCTGCACTCTTAAAGGCGTTTTCAGTTCAACTTTCTAACCTATATAACATCTGGAATGCCGATACAGTTTCCAATCTAGCGAAAGGAAGTGCTGGAATAGCTTCCCTTGATAAGGTAAAGTACTTCAGTCAGTTCGGCCACAGTTTGGTTGTACTGCTGTTGTTTTCCATGGTACCTATAATTTTCTGCACCTCTAGGTTTGTCTAGTACTGATCCTTCCACTACTTAGGTAGAGTCTCAGAGGAGATTGTGGGAGGAAAAGGGTCAAAGATCGAGTGAAGTTTCTGTGTCTAGTCGAAACATTGAGAATTCAGCAGAATCTGATATGGCTGATACCAGTCCCAGGACAGACTCAGGGGATGCTGACACTGATGAGAAAAGTCAGAGGGTAATGGTTCTCTTCTACCCATTTATAAGTATGTTAGCCAGTGTTGTGTTGACATGTATGGCTTTTAGTTGATTCTCCACAAAAAGATCAATGGCTGACTGATGGAATTGCTAGCAATCTAACCATGTAAGTGGTTTCCTTTGTGCAGTTTGATAGAGCTATATCGACAAATCTTGCCGCTTCTGATTCCAGTGATAGATCAAAAGATAAAATGGATCAAAAGGTGAATAGAAATGATGAGAGATGGGGAAAAACATGATTAGTTTTCTGGATTTGGACCAACTCAGTGCTTCTGAATGATTCTTTTGTGATCGTATTCTCCAGACACTACGTAGACTTGCTCAAAATAGAGAAGCTGCAAGAAAAAGCCGGCTTAGGAAGAAAGTAAGGACCATTTCCTGCTGCACTTGAAAACATTGTAATTCATATATTTTGGACTCTGGTTTAATTGTTGCTTTGCAAGATTGTAATGTGCATGTTTTCATCCGTGATTTGACTACAGGATATTTACTATGATAGACACATTAGACCTATATTTTATTTCTCTGAATCACCATGCTGATGTGTCAAATATTTCCTAGATAATAGCAGTACTACATGCATGGGAAGGCATCAAGTGGTGTTGTTTGCTCTCTTAGTTTGCTTATGAGAATTTTAGAAAGGCTAAGGCTTGTTGTTTCATTTTTAATAGTCGCTTGTTCAGAATCAGAAATATATCTGCAAATGTAGATTGAAGTGCTATCTTTCTGTGAAAGTGGTTGTCAGACCCCTGGCTTCTGTGCATTCAATCTTATAAATTTGTTACTAGATTTGACACACATAACTCTTATTTCACAAGGTAATTCCTGATCTTCTCCTATTTTGTCAACAGGCGTACGTGCAACAGCTGGAAAGTAGCCGGTTGAAGTTGACCCAATTAGAACAGGAGCTTCAAAGAGCGCGTCAACAGGTCTGTTTGCTCAATATTTGTTCTATATCATGTTTTTTTTTACGTTGGTGGTAAACATCTTTCATCTGGCCTTCTCCAGGGGATCTTTATTTCAAGCTCAGGAGACCAAGCTCATTCAATGGGTGGAAACGGTAATTCTAAAATACTTCCTACGGGATTCAGTAATTACATAAGATACAAGATACTCTTTCCGATTTCCGAAAGTTAAGTGTTGTTATGCTGGTTAGACCAGAATTACTGACCTGTTACTGAAGATCATATTGCAAGCGGAGAGGGGGAGCATTATGGGTGAGGGAAAAATGTGGGGGGGGGGGGGGGGGGGGGGGGGGGGGGGAGAACATAGAATGTGGTGTAATGAGATTTTAGGATTCGTGTTAATGATTTACTTTGGAAGTATGAGGTACACTACAATGTATGTTGGTGGGTTTTGCTGCCTTTTGCAGGGGCCATGGCATTTGATGTAGAGTATGCACGATGGCTGGAGGAGCAAAATCGACAAATGAATGAGCTGCGAGCTGCAGTAAACTCTCATGCAGGAGATACAGAACTTCGCATTATCATTGATGGTATAATGGCTCACTATGATGAAATTTTTAGGCTGAAGAGCAATGCAGCCAAGGCTGATGTTTTCCATTTGCTGTCTGGCATGTGGAAGACGCCTGCTGAGAGGTGTTTTCTGTGGCTTGGCGGCTTCCGTTCATCTGAACTCCTAAAGGTGATAATTACTTTTTGCCTTCAGTCACTTTGCTTAGGCTGTGTTAGTTCTAGATGATTCTGGAGATGGCAAGTTCTTGGATGAGGAGTTATTGTTTATCCCCAGAGGATAACTGAAAATTTGTCTCGTGCTTTGAATTTTATCCTGAGTCTGTTTGTTTTTTTACTTTAAATACCCATTTTTACTCTGGATAATTGTTTATCGGACTTGAATATATGGAGTTTTCATCTTACTTTGTATGGTGAGGGATGATAGTGGATGCCACTGTCCTTGAAACAATTAAACATAGCAGAGCTTGAAACTTAGGAATGAGAGACAAGAAAATTTTGTGGAAGGCTACATAGTACTGATGTGTATGTGGCAAACACCCTACTAGATGCGCTCGGAAATGTCACTGATGTGGAATGTGTGCATTGTTTATCCAATCTTGTGTGTTCATATTCAAAAGCACCCCTTGAAACTCTTTTCCCTCCTTTTACCGTGTATGTGGTAGTTCTGAATGGCTATAATATTGCAGCTTTTAGTGAATCAGTTGGAGCCTTTGACGGAGCAGCAGTTGGTGGGCATTACAAACTTGCAGCAATCGTCTCAACAGGCTGAAGACGCTTTATCACAAGGGATGGAGGCATTGCAGCAATCCCTAGCTGAAACATTATCCAGCGGTTCTCCTGGCTCCTCCGGCACATCAGGAAATGTGGCAAACTACATGGGTCAGATGGCCATGGCCATGGGAAAGCTTGGGACCCTCGAGGGGTTCATCCGCCAGGTGAATGATTACTATTACATCTTCACCTTTAGTCTCTGAATGTGTCTCATTTCATTTTCATGACTTGTCTTTGCCATTTTGTAAATACTCAGGCTGACAACTTAAGGCAGCAGACACTACAACAGATGCACAGAATATTAACAACCCGCCAGTCAGCCAGGGCACTGCTGGCAATCCATGATTACTTCTCTCGATTACGAGCTCTTAGTTCCCTTTGGCTTGCCAGACCAAGAGAATAGATGAATCTGATTACTTAGAAATGAAACACATCTTCAAGAGAGAAGTTGGAACCACATTGAGGCAGTAAATTGATGAATGATATGACGGAACATGGGCCTTTTCTAGGGGTTTGTTGTAATTCTTTCTTGTGATATATATCTCTCCTCTCCTGATCCCTTTGAGCCTTCTCAGGTTTGTAATTTTGTACGATAGACTTCGTATCCTATCAAACATTAGTCTCCTGATAGAATTGTGCAAAGAGTAGAAAAGAGAACAACTTGTTTGTAGCCATGTCACCAATTAGTTAAGATGTACGCTAACAATCAATTTCCTTCATGTTGATAATTTTTTTTGGTTGAGGCTCTCTTATTATTCCTTCATAATAGAATCCGAATTGAGAGGTCGCTTGCTTCTAGGATTTTAGAAAATGGGAGATTATCATAAAACTTTGGATTTTGGATTGAGGGCTTATGTTGGATTTGTAATGGATTTAGATAAAATCATGTTTGTTTGTAGGATTTGATAATGGATTTTAGTAGTTTGAATTTATGTATTGGTGGAGGAATTTTCCTAATTGTCCTTAATGAATGATTTTCAATTTCCTTTATTTTAAGTAACCCCAGCAAGTTCAATCATCTAAACATGCACATAATAAAACCAGCAAACTCAAGCATTATAAGCTGAATAGACTACCAATAAAACTAAATGACGAAATGTAAATTGGATAGGATTAAGTTGATTAAGCATTATATGGGTTTATTATGGTAATGAGAATGAACTAACAGTTAGGAATTTCTTAAATAGTTTATATTGTACGAACGTTTTAAGTTTTAACACTCTCATTAAAAGGTAGCTTTATAGGTATAATATGCCCCTCTACTATGTCATTTTATCAAACATGCCCCTTTTACTGTTTTTTACATCAAACATGCCCCTATACTTCGAAAAAATGATCAAATATGCCCTTTTGTTAAAATTTCATCCAAAAACCGTCAACCACGAATGAATCTTGGTTTGAGCGACACAAATGTCTAAAATATCCTTGATAATTTCACTTTAGAATTATTTGGGTTCTTTTTTAGAGCCAAATATCTCTAATAATTTCACTTTAACAGGGCCTAGAGACATAAATCGGGGGACAAAACTGAAAATTTTCCTCCCATTTATCGATGTCGGGTCGTCTAAATTTCGGTTCAACAGTGGTTGACAAAATTTTTAATGGAAATTTTAACAAAAGGGCATGTTTGATAATTTGTCCAAAGTACAGGGGCATGTTTGATGTAAAAAATAGTAGATGGGCATGTTTGATAAAACGACATAGTAGAGGGGCATATTATACATGTAAGTATATAACCCTAAAAGTTAAGTTCACACAACGTCATAAATAATTGATGGTTCATCCTCAATAAGGGTTGTGTGAGACTCATAATAGAGATAATAATGGAGGATAAAAGTGGATTACATAAAATGAATGAGGATATTATTGTCATTCAACATCATGGATTTTGCTTACCTTCAATGATCCCACCAATAGAGGTGAGATTTTATATCTGTGGGGTCTACGGATTTTAGCGTAAAAAATCCCACACATGTGGACCCCACAATTTGAGCAAAGTCCAACATGTAGCAACAAAAATGGATTATGAAGATAATCCATCATATGTTGGATTTTGGGATAAAATTCATGATGAAAATACCAAAAGCAAACGACGCCTGAGTAACCTACATGGTCTACTCTACCTGCAACCTGCATGCAACTTGAGTTGTTTAAGAACTAATTATTTGTAACCTGACTGATCCATGATTTGTAATCAGATTGATCTGTAGTCAAATTGACCAATAACCTGATTAACCCCTAACTCGATTGGTACAACTCGAACTTGTTTAAGCTAATTAGTTTAACTAACAAACGCTTACAAAAGAAAAATTGAAACCCACCTTTACATGTAAATCTTCAATCTCCAAGAAATAAAAAACCTAGTGGGCTTAATTAAGTTGATGACTCACCCCGAATATCGCAATAAAAATTCCAATTAAGATCCAAGTATAAACCTTAACCAGGCGCAATATATGGCAAGTATGTTTAAATATCAACCCCGGCCGGACCATGTCCCCTACTTCGATTGTTTGAAACGTCATTTAGCAATTGGTTTTTGGTGAAAACAATGATCTATAACTAAAACGTTTGGAAAAGTAAATGGATCGGAAACTAATTGAGAAGGCTTCAGCTGGGTGTTTCTCCCCCTAGCTAACAATAATGACTTGTCGGATTGAACGCATATGTGTGGTAAAGGCGGTTGTAAACCGTTGGGAAGTGCAACTAGTGAGCAAACGCAACTCGCTCGGTCAATAGGCCAAGGGATTCTGATTCAAGTTACCAAAGTAGCTCTCTTGGCATATCAAACAAGGGTTGCCTAGACTTCATGACTCGCCAATAGCATCACACTAGAAAGTGGCCAAGTGTAACCACAAACTAATGTGTAGTATAGCGGGATTAGCTTTACTTGTCAACCCGGGTCCTAGATGTGATGACTACTCCGTGAAGTTCTCGTTCTCTAGCAGTTTGAATGTAGTGAAGTTGTAACTAATATAAGCAAACACAAAGCAGTAAGGTTGTGATTCCAGTTAAGAAGGCTCACTCAGGTATGCGTCCCCCTAGATCGCATTTAGGCCAAGTTGTAATTCACATAAACCAATTTGATTGATATTTAAAACGCGAAAAGTTCTCAAATAGTCTGGAGTCTCGACTAAAGTGCTCCAGACCCTCTCTGTTTGAATACCCGGAGGACGACTAACCTCCACCGGCATAAACTAACCGAGGCAATAAGATTCAGACTTCCTCTACTGGGTTCTACACCAATACAAAGCAGTGAATCGACTTCCCGACTAAAGTCACCGATTCACTACCTCCAATTCAAGATGCTCTATTGACCTATGCAGAGATTATCTTTCTAGGCCAAAGCAGGAATCACTAGAATTTGATCAAGACTCAAGCAATTCTGAATAAGTACTTTAACTGGATATAAATCAATCAATCATTCATGGCAAATGGTTCATACAACTCATCCTAACATACAATCTAGGGTTCTTACATACGCAAGTGATAGAGGGGATTACTCCACAGAAAGAGAGTGGAAACTTATGTCGGATGTGGAAATCATCATGTAGACGAAAGAAATCGGCATCGGGTCATCAATCGTCGCTCCTTGGGGCTTGAATCATAGAGGCATTGTGGAGGACGTTTTAGTGCGGGTGGGACATTCTATTATCCAACGGATTTCATTATCCTCGACATCAGTGAAGATGTGGATAGGCCCCTCATACTAGGACGCCCACTCCTTGCCAACACCAAGTCTTTAATCGATCTTAATGAGGGAACATTGATCTTGAGAGATGGAGAGGTGAAAATTACTTTTTCGATTGACCCTAAGCTTAAGCATGAGGATGTCAAGGGGATAAAATCGAATGGTGTGTTTGGAAGTGGAGGTGAGCTAATCAAGGAAAACCCCAATATTTCTCTTGCTCCTTGTGATGATGTGAAACAGGGACCTAAGGCGTGTACTAAACCTGACTGGAAACAAAGGAAAGCTTGGCGTGAAAAGATGAACCACGATTTGGCCCAAAAGAAGGAGAAGGGCAAGGCGAAGGTGATTGGCCAAGAGGGCCATCGCTTGGAGCTTAAGATGGCAGGCGATAAGCCTCACCCCGTGGCCGTGGCGGCTCACTCTCGAAGGCCTCATGCTCACAAACATGAAGATCCGCACCATCTAGCTAGAGACTTTCAACTAGCGCTTGTTGGGAGGCAACCCAACATAGGGTTGTGTTTCTTTCCATTATTTTCACTTTTTGTTTGAGTGATGAGTCTAAGTGGTTGAATGGATATCACCGTGCCAGTGTCGTGTGTTTGAAATTTTGGAGTCTAAGTGGTTGGCACGGTTGATTAGATTGAGTATTGAGAGCTGTGGAAAATGCCCTGTTTTTCATGACATCACGGTTTTTGCCCTATTATCATGATCTCAAGACCGTGATAATGTGGTGGAAACCGTGATAACGGATGGCATTTCCATGACTTGTCATTATCACGGACGGAGGGATATTATCACGGTCAAGTGACCGTGATAATTGACTGACCGTGATAACGTCCCAAAACTCACCTTTTTTACTCGACATCACTGTTGGCGAGTTATTATCACGGTCTGGTGATCGTGATAATTGACCCCTGTCTGTGACCCTTGGGATCGGGCTACAAAAGGACATCAGTGACCCCGTAGTCTTCACACACTATTTTTGCCAGAATCCTCTGAACTTTGTCAGAAAATCCCGATTTCCATCCATTTTCCATCCAGTTCGTCGACCTCCGACCGTCTTTTTTCAACACCAAAACAAGACCCACATCCCCCTCGTTGAGGCGCCCACTTGCCAAAGTTTTGCAGCAATTTGGCTCCAACTTTTTCTGTCGACCCGATTTTTGGCGAGCTTCAAATGAAGCTCCGGCGAGCCTCTCCAGGCTTTTTTTAGGCTGTTTTTCGACAACCTTGCCATCTCCTCACCTTTGACCCTACTTGCGTCTCCAGGTATATTTCCAACTTTCCCTTTGTGATTTTGGAGAATTGGGTTAGAGTTCTTAGGTGAGGAGAATGAGATAAATTTTTTGATATGATCCAAATTGGTCAATTCTACGAGTCGCAATTACTTGCCAAAGAAGCCATTAAGGTTGGAAAGAAAAGGGAAAAATTTGGCCAAGTGTTGGAACAGTTTCGAGATAAATTCAAGATTAAGGGTTTGTATTAAAGATGGAGTGTTTAGCTAATGTTGAATGCATTGGTGGATCCAGAACAATTTATTAAGGTAATTTTCCAAAGCCTTAAAGTTGCCCTCTCAAAACAGGAAAACTGCCCAAATTTTTTGGAAACGTGACTGTGAAATTGGAGCTCAATTCGAGAAGCATTATGAGAGTCGAGTCTAGAGGCCTCTATCACATGAAAGAAGGTATGTTTGCCTACCAAGGCAAGGCATTGGATGAAGAAATGGGTATCTGGAAGGCCTCGAACGAAGGACTCAAAGACTGTCCAAAGTCACAAAAATCTGCCTTGCAAAAACAAAATTTGTTTTCCTGGTTCAATTTGAATTCATTTATTTAGTTAGTTTATGATTGCTTTTCGAGTTGTATCTTAATTAGGAATTCTTTGTTAGCTTGTCAGACATGGTTAGAAGTATTTAAAGCTTTCTTTTCGTTGTAGTAGTTATACTTGTTGGCAAAAACGACACAACTTCTTCTCAAAACGGCTACGCATTATCTACCACATTATACAACAGTGTTTCGTTCTTCCAAGTCCCCAAGAAACAAACAAAGCAATCCAGCTTTTCATCTTTATCA